GACAGCCAGAGCTGCATAGTGAGACCTTGTCTTTAAAAAAAAAAAAAAAAGGAAACAGAAAAAGAAAAGAAGAAATTAAATAAGGAAAGGCTGCCCCCTGCTGTCTATATGTATGAATGACCACCACCTGATTTCTACCCTATGTTTGCCCAGGTTTTTTTTTTTTTTTTTAAAGGAGTGAATTAGTGAATGAGTAAATAAAAGAATAGATAGATGAGATAGATAGATAGATAGATAGATAGATAGATAGATAGATAGATAGATAGATAGATAGATAGATAGATAGATAGATAGATAGATATAGATATCTATATATAGATATATATAGATACATATATATATAGAGAGAGATGATAGTAAAATTGTATTGCTGTTTAAAAATACTGCCGCCTTTACATTTGGTCTCAATGCCCACCCAGATGAGCAAACTGGAAAAACACCATCAGAAACTATGACACTAAAACACATGGTACTATTATCTTCAAGGCCAGATGATATTAAGATACCCAGCTATATGATTAAAAGGAAACTCTGGCTTAATGAATAAATCATTTCTAGGGAAAGTGAGAAATCAAAAGGTGAAAACAATAGATCAAAATAAAATGTATAGCTCAATGGAAAAAGAATGAAGAACGGATTTTACCACCTTCCAAATGATAAAAAAGATTGGCTTTTTTACTCAGGCTTACAGTAGAGTTGTAAGATCTGCCACTACTGATGAGACAAACACACTGTCTCCCCTTTGACCTGCGTCCAGTTCAGAGCACCAGTAGGTTGCAACTTCCTGTTCGGCCCAGGAGGTGCCAGACCTCCTGCTGTGACAGAAACACACTTAAGAACCTCTTCTGTAGCTTGCTGACCTTGACCTTGGTATCCTCCCAATGCTAATTCCCTCCCGGGTTCCACCCTCCTGAATGCTTAAGGGAAGTTCCTTGTCTATGTATCCAGCAAAATGGGCGTTAACCGCTTAGATGCAAGACTGTAAAACATCGGTGGCAAACTTCTGCCCTCCAGGGTTCTCCCATTGTGCTGTAAACCTGTATTTAAGACCTCCTACCTCCTTCAATAAACAGCATTTGGCATTAAATAAATAAATTTTTTTAAAAAACGAACCTCTTCTGGTTATTTACTCGACTGTGTTAACTAACCCAGTCCTAGAGACTTTGAATCAAAAGCTCAAGGGAATTGGTTAGAGATTTGCATCCTGACAAGCTTCCTAAGGGGCCCAGGCCTCTCTGAGCTAAAAGATCATGAAACAGCTTCTTACAAAAACCTATCTTTGGAAATAGTAATGACTTGAAACTAAGCGTTTTTTTAACAGAAGATTTTCATATATTTTTACATAAAATGGCATTTTATTAGTTTTCCTTCCTTTTATACTGATTTTTTAAATTTTTATTTAAAACAAATAATATAGGTATATGTCTCCAAAACTGAAATCTCACCATAAAATCAACAATAAGAACTGGCCTGTCTGCCACTGTCGTTGGTGGGTAATTGCCTTAAATAGTTCGTTTTGTATTTTTACCTGTATTTCTTTTTGGGTTTGTTTTGCAGTTCTGAGGATTCCATCATGCAAGCAATTCACCAGTGAGCAACTGACCTCCAACTCTTAACAATCTTTCCACCTCAGCCTCCCAAGTGATGAAAGTTTCATTTGTATGCAACTGTGCCTACAAGGTAAATTTCCTTGGGTGACATTCTGGATGAAAATAAAAATGAGAACGCATTTATACCTTCACTGTTGTTTTCTAGTCATTTTCTAGATAGTTTTTTTGTTTTGTATTCCTACTAGCAACAAATATACTCAAGTCTTTATTTCATTGTGAAGTCCCCCAAAAAACAGTCTCTAATAGCCCAATTTTTGAACTGCTAAAAGGCATGCTTTCAATGCAGTTTTTCTTTGTATTATCATGGTGAGAACTTTTCCCTACACTTAAGCACCATTTTGATTTCTTTTCCTCTAAAACATCTGCTATTTGCCTTTTTTAAAAAATTGAGCTGTTAAATTGTCTTCTCATTGAATACTAGTCCTGATGGTGAGAATTACAAATATTTTCCCAGGTTTTTAGTTAGCTTTTGATTCTGTTTCTATTCCTTATATAAATGTGACAAAATTACATAGTCAAGTCTATCTTTTCTTCATCTGGGTTTTACATCATCACTTGATAGGCAATAAAAGGAAGTATCACTGGGGGAAAGATACCCAGGGCATGCAAGGGCAGGTTGGACTTCCGAGCCAGTTTGTCTGTTTTTGAGATGGAGTCTCAAAGTACAGCCCTAGCTGGCCTGGCACTCTGGACATAGACCAGACTGGACTCCTATTCCCAGATTCGCTTGCTTCATCTCACAGCGCCAGGATGGGTGCCCCTCCACTCCCTGCCAGACTCATCTTGAACCACAAAATTTGAACTATCTACCAAAGCTTTGAAATATCTTCAGAGAAAGACTACCTTGTGACTATGATCACATGGCCCTGTGGTTATAGATTAATTAAGATGATTTCCAAACTGTGTCTCTCCCTACCCAGCCTCCAAGGAGACTTGTCCCCATCTCGCTTTGCCTAACTCAATGAGTAATGACATGATAACACTTGTGGTCACTTCACCTCATTTCATACCCATTCCTGGAAATATCATGCATCTTTACCATCATTCTAAGAAGTCCAGAGTCTAGTTAACCCCTTGAGAAGGCTTGAGTCTGTCACAAGAGAGAGAGTCCGCATACTACACAGTCTTGCTCTTGGGAGGCAGATGTAACCTCGGAGTGACGCACAGCCTTGGAGCAAGGGCAGAGCCAGGCTAGATTGGGGGCTGTTACCTCTTCATAGGGTGGGTGGCTCCCTTTTATGACGACAGCTTGAGAAGGGTGGATACGAGAGGGGATCCAGCCCCTTCAGCAAACAGCACTGCAATGACACCCAGCTCCAAGGACAAAGACATTCAAAAGAAGGCCAGGGGGCAAGGAGGAAACTCCCTGTATTGGCTCACTTCTTACACCACCTTGCACAATGGGGGCGATGTCACCTTTTCTATCTTCAGCTCCCCTCAGAGGACCAGCTGCTCTGGTGGTTTCTTCCAGCCTTCAAGGGGTGGACCTATGGGTGGGTTGTTTTTGTATAAAGCTGTAACATTGTGGGGACAGGGGGCACGGTGATTCAATTCTATGGGAGACCTTTACAAAAACCTTTCTGTCTGTCCCCAAGGCCCCACAGTCCTCTGCTTTTCTCCTGGGACCCAGGCCTAGATGGGTTTAGATCCAGAAGGCTTCCACTTTCCCCCTGCTGCTTGCCAGGTCACGATCATGGAAAAGAAAAGGGCCTTTCCATCGGAAGCCTCCTATATAGAAAGATCACAGACAAGAGAAGAATGGCCCAGTGGCCCCAGAGGCAAAGGATGCAGGGATGCCCCCTTCAGCCAACCCCTATGGAACCAGACCACCACCAATGGAAAGGGGAACCAGATGTGAACAGCTCTACAGACTGCTCAAAAAGAAGCCATGGAGATCTCAACTCTGGGCTGGTCCTGGGAACCCGCTCTCGGCAAGCCTACCTCACTTTGATGGACCCTCAGAGAGAGACCATATCTGTATATATTGACTCAGAGAGAGGGCATTCTTCACAACAGGAATGTCGGTCCCACTCGATGGAATCTGCCATGTTCTACTTCCCCACAAGCCTAAGATGTGAAGAGAGGATGGTCCCGGCTGGTGTCATTTCTCCTAGGGTCCTCTAGACACTAGCCGGGACCATCCTCTCTTCACACCTTAGGCTTGTTTTCCTCCTTCCCCACGGCACTGTGCAAACACGGAAGTTTTCTTTGGTCAAGGAACCAGACTCACGGTTGTAGGTAAGATATCTTTCAGGTAAATTCCCAGGTCTGTCTTAGGACCAAGCATGTGTCCATTTTAGCATTCCTATATTTTGATGTGCAAACTATGACTACACCTTCGGCTCAGGAACCAGGCTTTCAGTAATAGGTAAGGTCTAAAGGTCTTCGGGTGTGGGATGAAAAGTATGACTCGGTCCTGGGAACCAGAAGAAAGATCTAGCTCGTGAGTCTTGCCTAAGGGAGAAAGCGGGTTCATGACAAGGACTACATTCTAGGGAGGCTGAATCCACAAAGGTGGTCTGAAGGTTCCTGGCTGAGTCAAGAGGTGCCTGGGATGGAGGACTGGAAAGAGGAAGGAGATGGGGCTCACAACAGTGAGGAGTTTTGAAGTGGACTTGGGAGGCTGTGTTCTGGAAACACGGTCTATTTTGGAGAAGGAAGCCGGCTCACTGTTGTAGGTAAGTTAGGGCCAAATGGCTGTGCACCAGAGGCAGCCCCTCTCTGGGGTGCCTACGCCGCAGTGTGCTTCTGTCAGGAAGATCTAAATTCCTGTGCTCATGCTTACAAGAAGGGAAGAATGTCCATCTCCAGTATTTCACAGGCTGGCTGTGCCAAGTAAGCCTGGGCACCCTGCTAAGTGCAGGCAGGCTCAATTGAGAGTCATCCTCATATACTGCTCATAGTCCTGCTGTTTGGCCCTCTCACACAGTCAGAAGACAGATCTTGGAGAGGAGGATGCATGGACCCACCAGGAAAACTGACTGTCAATTATATTAGTTCCACTGGCCGAGATAAAAGCGTCCTTGAGAATGAGGGAAGCTAGCTGGCAGGTGGGCATGGGGAGGAGGACAGAGATCAGCAAGCAGTTTTACCACCAGGCTTTGATGTTGTGTTTCCAACGAAAGATTATTTTTCGGTCATGGGACCAAGCTGTCTGTCCTGGGTATGTAAAGGGTGTCTTTCTCGGGAGGGTATGTTGTAAGCCTGGGGGTGCGGGAAAGCTCCTTGGAGAAGGAAGGGACTGAAAACTCAGCCTAGGTTGTGGCTCAGAGGATGAAAGGGTGGAGAATGTGCTGGAATTCCGTGTGGTGTCAGTGTCTCAAGGAGGGCCCCAGCAGCTGGGGTTGGGGGGCTGTTTGTCACTCTCCTGTTGTACTGTGTAACAATCAGGCCCAGAATTTTGGAGAGGGGACTCGACTCTCTGTTCTAGGTAAGCTACAGAACCAAGGAGGTGGGGATACTGTCCCTTAGAGCCAGAATGTCTGCGAACCCCCAGCACTGGTGGCAGGGGTCGGGGAATTTATTCTTTTACTTTCTGGGGTCTAAGAGGCTCCTCTAACCCCCTTATGACAAGGTGAACCCGCGACTGCTTCTTTCCCCAAAAATCTTCAGTCTCTGAGCAGTCTCCTCCCAACCCCCAGCGTGGTCTTACCTTTCTGTTTGCATGGATGTGCTCCTCCTGCGTCCCTTCCTCCTGTCCTCTCATGTCACATGCCTCATGGGATGACTGTGGTCTAGAATCCTGCCTGCAGGCAGAGAGTGGCAGTCATCCAGCGCTCAGAGAACTAAACTAGCTCTCTGGCTTGGGGCCGCTAGCAGGTTTTACCAAGGCCACCTGCCGTTGTGTTCTTACAATTCACCCCTCCACTTTGCAGCAGGCACCCGGCTTACTGTGACAGGTACGGGGGCTCTATTGCTGACTGGAGGGGTGCCTGTGTTGGGTCACAATGGCCTGGGAAAGGAACTTAGGTATAAAATTGGAAGGCAGAGTCACCCGCTCCCATCTGGAACCCTGTACCCTCTCCTGCTTTCCCCAAAGCCTGGCAGCTTGCTGATCCCTGAGTTGGTTTTCTCCTTCTAGTCACAGGATGCCTTGCTTCGGGGCTTTGAGTCTTTTGCCTTCTTTTTTATCACTCTTTGGACTCCCGTCTCTGTAGTTTGTAAACGATGCATTGCCTTGTTTTCTCTCTCGAACCACTTCTCCGCCCTTTCCATTCCCATTCCTTTTCTGCACTGTTGACTTGTTTTGGTACATGGCTCTGCCTTCTGATTTGAAATATTGACACTGACCTCCAGTGCAGACTTCTAATCCTGCTTTCGTCTTTCTTCCACTCTCCATCAGTCTCTGAAGACCCCTGTTTGTCTTCTTGGTGTGGTTTAAAGGGCTAGATGGCAGAGGGGACCAGGCTGGTGGTGACTTAAGGGCTGATCCTGAGTAGAGGGCATGTCTTTGTTATAGCATTACAGAAGCTATAGCTGCCTACAGGGGAGTTTGAAGTGCATTGTACTTGGTGGGTATCTCAGGCATAGATATGAATAAGCTTACAACCAGAAAAATGATATATTAGCAACAGCTACAGATTATGTATAAAGAAGAAAAAAGAGATAAGCGGCCCTCAGACTCCAGGTCTGTCTTGGGACAATAAGCTAATGTAGCTGTTGTAAAAGCCCAACATAACCAATATGATTGTGAGGAAAGCAGACAGGCTGGGGGAGCGGGGTAGGGAAGTGATGAGGTCTGAGAGAGAGAGAAAAAAAAAGGAAGGATGGGGCAGCTTGGTTCTCCCAGGACTGGAAGCTTGCACAGATATTTTCTTGAAGATAGGACCCATGCCATAGATACTAAAGGAAACTACTGAGCACTGGATTCAAATGCCTGCAGCTCAAAGGAATAAAGTTGGGGAACTGTCTGGGGTGATAGCCCTAAAAAAAGTTGGCTTTTTTTTTTTTAATGCTAAGCTGTCCCAGGGTCTGTAAGACACATAAAATAGGAAGGACTATTTAAAATTAACTTTAGCTTAAAGGACTAAGTTAAAATCATTGGCTTTGTTTGCATTTTACTTGTGAGAGCCTCCGGCATGAGCATTGACTCTACCTCTCTCCCATTCTTCCCTCCGTCTCTCTAGCCCCTTCCATACCGCTTTCTCTCTCCCAAATTTGTTTAAAGGATTCAAAGGTCACCTCATGTGACCACCTTTATTTCTATTATTGATTTTCCTTCAAGCCACTGTTTGTCTTTTTTCAAAGCCACTTCTCAATTTCTCCCACAAGTCCCCAACTTCAGACAGAGCAACAAGATCTCATATTGTTGTGTTTCTGCATCAGAACCTTGCCTTCAGGTCAGAACAGAGCCAGGGAGGGGGGTGTTAAACTCCACAGAAAGGGACAATGCTTGGAGGTTGCATGTAAATTTTTGCATCTCTGATGTCTTCAGAGGGTGTCATTCTTTTCAACAATCCTAGAAGGTTTTTCTGTCCCATCTTCCAAGTGTGTGAGTGGCCCAGGCCATTCCAGAGGAGACCTGCTTCGGAAAGGACCCTTGTGTTTTAAGATGTGTTTATAGGAGCAATTAATCATTCGCTACATTAAAGAATACAAAGTTAGGCGGTGAACTAGAATTATGAAACTCATCAAGGAGGCTTGCTGAGCATGGAAAAATAGAAGAGTTCAATCTATGAATAATATCTTCCACAGGATTGCAGTTTTCCTGAGCAAGCCACCACAGCCCTCTTACACCTCAGTGTAGGAGTAAATGTGGAACATCAGATAAGCCATGAGCCAGAGACAAGCTGGGACCTCAAAGCAAGTACATGCAGAGAGAGAGGGGGCGGGGAGTGTTGAGCAAGGTATTCAGAAACTTAGAGACTTTTCTGGATGTTATGTTGAAAACGTCTCTTTTAGGCAACAAATGTTGATAGTATGCAGAATCGCCCAAGCACATTAATACATTCTCCATGACCCCCAAAAGAAAATAGTAATCAAAAAAATCACCTTAGTTCTTAGGATCATGTTAATATGACACTTTTGCCTCAAAATTCAAGCTCTCCTAATTCAACTATTTCAAATCTAAAAGGTCAGATAGCCATGCACAGATTGTGATTTTGAAAGAAAAATAACTGGATATATTATTTTTTCACAGGAGATCAAACGAAGTCACAGTATGTGAGGCCTTACAAGAAAGTCCAGAAAATCAGGGTACCATTCCACCTCAGGAAAATGGAGGAGAGAGTATACAGAACATATACTTAGATAAACCGATAAAAAAGAGGGAACATCAAGGGAGACCAACAACAGAGTTAGACAGTGACAGAATGCTATCAAGACCTACTATACTATAGTTTATAATGTACTTTATAATGACCATTTCCAGCCCCTTCTCACACAGTCCAAGCCAGGGCTAGATAGTTCTCAGACCTGTCCTCCTCTCTTCATTTTCAGAGGACCTGAGCAAGGTGAGCCCGCCCAAGGTCACCGTGTTTGAGCCATCAGAAGCAGAGATCGTCAACAAACAAATGGCTACCCTCGTGTGCCTGGCCAGGGGCTTCTACCCTGACCACGTGGAACTGAGCTGGTGGGTGAACGGGAAGGAGCTGCGCAGTGGAGTCAGCACAGACCCTCAGCCCTACAAGGAGACCAATAACATCACCTACTGCCTGAGCAGCCGCCTGAGGGTCTCTGCAACCTTCTGGCACAATCCTCGCAACCACTTCCGCTGCCAAGTCCAGTTCTATGGGCTTACAGCTGAAGATGAGTGGGACAAGGCCTCGCCCAAGCCTGTCACCCAGAACGTCAGTGCAGAGGTCCGGGGCCGAGCAGGTACGTGGGACCTGGGGAGCAGCTGGAAGAATGGGCATCACTAGTGTCAAAGAGAAATGAAAAAATACAGGCAAAGGCCAGAAGGAAGCCCAGATGCAAAAAACAAACAAACAAACAAACAAACAAACGGTGGCAGGGGACTAAAGTTTGCCCAGAAGATAAGCTAGACAACCACAGCTAATCCTAACACCAGACCCTCAGCCAGCAGCCTTACCTGTGGGGTCTCCTTTCCATGGCTCCATGCAGCTCAGCCTCTGAATCATTATCTTTGGTGCCGAAGCCATGGGTTTCAAGAATAATGGGTTTGCATTGACACAACAGAAGGGAGAGGGTTCTGGGGCCACGTGGAGGGGCAGATCTGGACCTGTCAAACTGTGCTAGCCTCAAGGCTGGCTTAATTTTCAGTCTACTTAATAAGAAGAGGTCTCATCCATTTTCCTGTCTCCCTTTGCTTGCAGATTGTGGTATTACCTCAGGTGAGTTGACTCCCTCTTCACTTCTCATGACCTCGACTGCAGAGCTAGCTGCCTGTGCAAGGGTACTTACCTGCTCTCCTTTACTCCCAACAGTATCCTACCAACAAGGGGTCCTGTCGGCCACTGTCCTTTATGAGATCCTGCTGGGGAAAGCCACCCTGTATGCAGTACTCGTCAGCACCCTAGTGCTGATGGCCATGGTAAGGAATGGGCAGGTGGACCATACAGGGGAGGTGACATGTGGCACACAAGACACTAAGATCCAGGGGCTTAAGGGCTCTAGCAGAACCAGAGGTGAGCAATAGATAGAGTTTTGCTCCCATACCATAAAAGACAAGCAGAAACTTCAAAAACTACAGTGAGTGAGTCATGCAGAGGACAAGCTGTGGTAACCCAAAACCCCAAGGGATATTTGAGGATCCCTATCATTTCTCTGAATGGCCTTTCCTACTTCCTCTCAAGCCCAACTGTGCATGGCCCTTGGTAAATCTAAAACCTTTCTCTTCTGCAGGTTAAAAGAAAGCATTCCTGAGGCCAGACCTGGAGGCAGAGCCCAGAGCTTCCAATCCATTATGTGAACTCGGATTCTCTTTTTCCATTACTTCTGAAGACCTGTTCTCGCTTGTCTGTGCATCCTAAAGTCTGCCTACTGGTCATGTATGCTTACACATGTTCATCTGAAATCCCTGTGACCTGGAGAGTGCCTAGCACACTTAAAACCAATAAACATAACCAATAAACATGTTCTAGAATGACCTATTCTTGTCTGTCCCTGAACTCTCTGATCAATCATGAAAGAAGAAATATTCAAAAAAATGTTGGCCCCCTCAGGTAAGAAAAGTGAGGCCCCCCACCCTGAGAGTAACAGAAGAGGCTAAGTTTGGAAGGTGGTGATGGGAGCTAAAAATTCTCAAGAGAGAAAGACGGGTTCTGAGTACAGAAAGTTTCTGATCCTCAGAAAAGTGCTCTGGGAGCAGCAGCTACAGGTTACCCAAAAGTATCCATCTGCAACTGGTCATTTTCTAGTGGTTAACAAGGCTTGGTTCCCTGTGTGTGACCATTCTTCCTTTCAGCCTCTCAGTGAACACATGTTTGTTCACCAAGCAGCTTTCCCAGGTAGGCACAGTCATGCAGTCTTGGAAAACGACATTTCAATGGGAGACATGCCCTTTGTTTAAGATACCAATCTGTTGGTAAATTATTACTTAGTGAAATAGGTGGATTTAAACAACACCCCATGGTTGTGCCCAGAAGTACAGAAAATACAGCTTCCTAAAAGCAAGAGCAAGACTTATTTCTACATCTAGGAAGCCTTCACAAGTGCCCTGTGTTCTCATTGTCACCATGGTGGGGTAGTCATGTCACCATGGTGGGGTAGTCATGTCATGGTGGGGTAGTCATGTCA